ATCATTTATGTGGTAGTAGTTAGCAGTTGAGAATTACTTGTTTTTATGTATTTTATTCTTTTTGTACTACCTGTTTATTTATGGTCTTTATGGTTACAGCTCAAGATTTTTGTAGTTGCTAGTTGTTATTTCGATAGAATTTTTTTTAGTTACTAGACATTTCCGAAACACAGTTTAATTGGTGCTTTTTTTGCAGATTCATATTTCCTCTTCCCAAATTGTGGCTTGATTTATAGTTGCTAGATTTAAAAAGTTTAGAATTGAATATAACTTGTTAGGGATTATTTTCATATTTTTATTGATTCTATTAATTTTTTCAACTATATATCTTGATGACTGTATTTCAAACTGCATGTGTAGTCAGTATAAGAAATTCTGACTTTATTCATTTGTAAATATTTCTTTTTTTTTTTTAATTTTCTATAAATCTCTAAGCGATTTATAGATGCGCTGTTTTGTACTAATGGATTGGTCCAAACAATCATCGTTATGAAACAAATATTGTAAATTTTAACAATTCTTTACATTTTTATTTTTGAACTAATTTTAATTGTCATTTAAATGTTTGCCTCTGATAATTTTTTAATTATTTTAACTACAAAGATAAGGGTAGATTGAAATATTTTCATTAATTTCGATGTTTAATAGCATGTATTTTTTTATTTTAAATGTACTTCTATGTTTTCGTTTTCTCGCATTAATGTATTTGTTATGAATGACAGGTTGCAATATTTTTTTTCTCTATGGAAAATTGTCTTTGCTCTCCTCATCGAAATACTTTTCCATGTTAGGCTAATTATTTGTTGTTATATTTGAAAATCAGAGTCCATTGCTTATCAGAATTTGTTTTAACATGACGGTGAGAGTTTAGGTTTTATTTAATAATATGTTTTTTGTATTGTATTTTTTTTGTATTTTTGAACATTGTTTATTTTGCATTATTTTTTGTATTTAAGCATTGTTTATTTTGCTTGTTTTATTGCTTACAGTTCATATTATTTTTTTTTTTTCAAGCACAGCTATTTATCACAGCGTAGTTTTTTATTCTTAGAAGTTTTTCTAGGGTACTTTTATTAAATTCATCTCCTCATAAGTTATCCCTAAACTAGTAATTATAGTTTTAGTTTTTAAAAGGGCTATAATTTTGAGTGTAAGAAATATTTTTAGTTTTATTTGATAACAATTCCTGTACATATTTTGTTGCTTTATTTATTGTGTTTGAGATTTGGGCAACTTTTTTTTAACATTATCGAATTTGTCATTCATTGACAATTTTTACTTTTATTATGACAATATTCTTTTTTCATTTTTATGCCTAAGGATAATGCAGGGGCTTTAACTCAGGTCAATTTTTTGGCTCATTTCTAGTAATGAAGATTGCATTAATGAATCTTTTGTTGCTTTACTTATTGTATTTGAGATTTGGACTATTTTTATCAATGTTCCTTTTCATAAATTTTTTCTTTGTTTCTAACAGTCAGCTATGATATTTTCTTATATGCCATGTATGGGTTATTGATTGTTTTATTTTAGCATTTTTTGACAGAAATACCACGAAAATGATTATGCAAGGGAATAGGTTTTGCTTCTCGGTGACTGGTTCGATTGCTTTTTTGTTTTCTATGATCTTGGACTTTAGTTTTATTATTGAGAATTTTGTTTTTTGTATAGCTTATTAATTCATGTAGGTTTTCATAGCAAGTTACTGTAAATCACTATCAAACCGGATGAAACGAAGAATGAATGAAATGTGTAACTTTTAACTGTTCTAATCGTCTAAGTTATCTATTTGAATTACCACTTTGATTGATTCATTGGTGTGTTGTTTCATTTCTGTTGTCTCTTGTTTATCTAGATCTTTATGCACAATTAATTTATTACTTTTCTCATTTATTACTTCATTCCTTTTAAATATTCGGTTTTTTATTATTTCCTTGTTTTTATGTTTTTTTTTTTAAATTTCCTTTATTCTATTGCATTCGTTTTATTCATTACTCAATCCTTAAATTCATTTACGTGTACAAACAATTTTGCATTTCTGCCCTCTTCATTTTTCTCTTTATTTGAAGAATTTGAAACATTTAATTGACTTCTTTAATGCAATTTTTCGTCTGTTTTATCAATATTTGACAATTGAACAAATGAGTAACTTCACCCATTTGTTTATTGTTATTACTGAAAATGCATACTTTTTCCTATTAGACCTACTTTATCTTACATATTTTTCTTTTTCCATTCGCTTTACTC